TCTTCAATGATTTTCGGGTCTTCACATTTAGCGCGCGCGTAATTATAGCCTTTCGAGAATCGGGAGGAGAGGATTGGATGCCTTTTCACGAATTTTGTGACCTAATCCTTACCGACTAAAGGAGCGGGGGTAGATCCACGCGCCGCGAGTAGTAAATCCGCCATTTCTCGTACGGTAGAAGGCCGAGGGGCTGCTCCGCGAGAGTCCATAGAGAGAATCCATTTTTGAAGCGATTCCTCCTCAATTTCGGTCAATTTATGTGAATTTGCGCGAGTTTCAGCGCGAAAAGGATGGCCGGTAACGCGTCGCTGTAGTGTTGTACGGGGTACGTTAAACTGACGCGCTGCATCACGAATTGATAGAATTTCTTGCTTCTTAATAGCCTGGATAGCTAATAAGATCCTACCCTCTTGCTCCGTACGATTTTGAGAGGATTGAGTACGAATTGGTGGCATGGTAGGTGGTTGAAGAAGGAAGGTCTAATTAATTGACGCGTTTTCCGTTAGGTGGCCCACTCGGTAGGGGTGGCCCACTCGGTAGGGAAATACGTTAATTATGTAATATCCATGATTAGGTAATTGAAAACGTCATGTGATTGTATTGGAATTACCACAGCAACATCATTCTAAATGTCATACCATAGTATAGTATAAATCCCCAGCTCTCGCCTCCCTCTTTTCTTAGCTCCTCAAATCTCTGCCTCTCGGATTTTTCAGAAATGGAGCCCCCTACTGAGCAAATTTTTGATAGCAGAGGTTTATTAATTGCCTCTGTCCGTCAGCATGCTCTCTCGCAAGGTTACGCTGTCACTACTATACGATCAATCACAGATAAGTACATCTATCTTGGTTGTGACCGTGGTGGCACGTATCGTGACCGAATGAATGCTCCTGATGGAGCGAAACGAAGAACGACAACTACACGGCGGATTGGCTGTCCATTTAAGCTATACGGGAAAATGCTTTTTGATGATAAGTGGGAGTTACAGGTCCAAAACCGGAATCATAATCACACAGCTGATGATAATATGATCGGACATTCAGCTGCCCGTCGGCTCACAGAGGAGCAGCTTCAAAAGGTCCTACATCTATCGGAAATTGGATCTAACCCTCGTGGCATCCTAGCTCTAATCAAACGAGAGCATCCTAATGCTTTAGTTACCCCTCGAGACATCTACAATGCGCGAAGTGCTTTACGAAGGCAAAAGCTCGGTAATAGTACTCCCCTTGAGTTTCTACTGAAGACTTTGAAGGAAAATCACTGGAAATATGCTATTAAGCAGGATAGCGAAGGACATGTCCTCTTTTTTATGTTTGCACACCCAGAGTCAATCAAGTATGCTAACCTATACAACAGGGTATTCGTCCTAGACTGCACCTATAAGACAAACCGATATCGTATGCCTCTATTGCATATTATTGGTGTCTCGCCATCAAATTCAACCTTTAGCGTTGCATTTTGCTTTATGCAGAATGAACAGGAAGAGAGCTATATTTGGGCTTTAAAGACTTTTTTCTCATTTCTCGACCCCCTCTCTTTCTATCCAGTTCTTTGTACAGATAGAGACCTTGCATTATTAGGTGCTGTCAAGGTCGTCTGTCCAGATTATCCCCATCTTCTTTGCATCTGGCATATTAACAAGAACGTAACGTCTAATACGAAGCAGCATTTTACGACGAACGCCGAATATCAAACATTTCAAAAATCATGGAATCATGGAATCAGCTAATTTATTCTACTACAGAGAACGACTACAATTCGAGGCTATCAGAGTTCGAGAAGCGATATCAGACCTCCCCTTCTCTTCGATATGTTAAGGAGACATGGCTAATTCATAAAGAAAAATTTATAGTTGCATGGACACAACAATGCCTACACCTCGGTAATTCTGCGACCTCTCGAGTTGAAGGCTCACATGCCTTTTAAAAAAGCACATCGGTGCTTCGACAGGGGATATGTTGATCGTATTTGAAAGGATTTCACAGGCTTTACAAACCCAGCATGCTACGCTTGAATATGATTTTAGACGAGATCAGATTGAGAGGCCAGTAGTAACCTTACATCAACTTTATACTAATATTGTGATCAGGACCTCCCGCTATTCGATACGACTGATTGGCGAGCAAGTTACAAAGGCTAGAAGAGCTACAAATCTTGCTCCTTTACCCCCCTGTACTAATACGTTCACAAGGCCAATGGGTCTTCCTTGTACCCATCGGATTACTAGTTTATTGGAGAGCAATAAAGCTATCCCATTGACAGATATCCACCCATTCTGGCGAACTGGGCTTTCTGAAATGGAATCAGAATACCTTCCCTCTCTTAGAGCCTTTGATTCCTTTTCCAAAGCCTAAAAAGCGGAAGTGGGATCAATTGGAGCAGAAAGACGACAGCGAGACTATGAATAAACGGAAGAGGGCACCCTTTAAATGCACTGCATGTGGTAAAGTTGGGCATACACGAAGGTCATGTAAATAATACGGAGAATGAATACCAATACAATCACATGACGTTTTCAATTACCTAATCATGGATATTACATAATTAGGAGTGTCCGGAACAAAAGTGGGAGTGTCCCTAGTTATCAATTCCCAGTTTTGTAAGTTAGTTAAACTAGCCAACTTGGTCCAGCTACCCACCTCCCTTGGCCCCCTTTTCTTCTCTCTGCTAACCTCCCTCATAAATTCAACAACACTTTTTTCTGCACGTCCTCTTCCAACCTGTTACATATTATTTCTATTATGGATATCCGGCAGCAGTTCCCTAATGTGCACTGGGTCTGGAGAGGAGGCATCTCCTTTGTCTATGAGGTCCATCCTCGCGTCGTGGTCAAGGTCCCGAAATCTGGCGACTTTGAGAGAGAGCAATTTCGGAAAGAACTCAAGATCTATGAGATCTTTTCTCAACATCCGCCCTGCCCTTCCATAGTCCAGTGTTTCCTCTACGCGGACAACGGCATCTTCCTCGAGTACATGCGAGGTGCGACCCTTATTAGTGTATGACAATTGTGTCTCCTAACCGCCTCATTAGATGTAACCCTCTGTTCGAGAATACAAAATAGCAATACTCGCGACCAGCAAACAGCTTTGGTTACTAAAGTGGAGAAACTGGAACCTCTATCCCTTCGAAAGGAATGGATGAATGACCTCGCTCAAGCCGTTGCTTTTCTAGAATCGCTCAATCTCGCACATGGCGACCTACGACCCGAAAACATTTTACTTGATCGCAACCGGTTAAAACTGTCAGATTTCGATTGTACGGCTGAAATTGGGTCAGATTTTGAAGCTTGCATCGCCCCGTATGGAAGAATACTCAACAGCGACGAGCAGGATCAAGGACGACGTGGGAGTTCCGGTTTCCTAGGTCCTCGAACCGAACAATTCGCCTTGGTCTCCCTGTTCTACCTCATAAACTACGGCTTTGAGGTTTATGGAGATCAACGTCTTACCGAGGATCCTAAAGAGCATGGACGCAAAGTTGTGGAGTTACTGCAGAACATGGAATTTCCAAAGTTAGATGGTGATCCGTTAATTGACGACATCATCATCAAATGTTGGAATAACAAATATGCCACGATTGCGGAATTGGCCGCATACACAGAGACGCTCCTCCCTGGAAGAAACAACTGGAGAAACGCCGAAGCCGAAAAAATATCCACCCCGCAATGGCGTACGGTCATAGGCCGCGTTATTCGTGGGTTATTGAAAAGTTTCAGATCTTGGTGGGTTTTCGTGCTCTGTCGCACTAGAGAGGCAACCAAGCCTGAAGAAGCTAATGATGGAGGACCGGATGGCTATAGCGGTGGCATCGGACAACAGGACTCAGCAGTGGATTTCTCTCCCAAAAAAACATTCTGTCAGAACCTGGAGAAGCGCGGACTTCTTCATATGCTTTCTTTGGGAGAACCAGAGCAACTTGGATTCACTATCGAGTGGTATAGACATTCCACAAGTTGAAGCAAAAGCTCAGCAGCAGATTTCTACCAGGGAGATATCCAAAGCGTTGACCAACAATCAACAAGGTGGTAAAGCATATCATCATGAAGATTAGTAAAGTAAAACGAAGATGTGCACAGAGAGGAAGTTGCGACTGGTCGTGGTTGGGTATTGTCCGCAGCACTCTTGGGATATGCATTTCCCCAATTCTTAACTTCTAAAGATGGATGTTCTGAACCGCGTGTCGCCTATGCAATCATCACAATTTATCGTATAACACGATTTTTTTTACTTGCTGCCAAGAAAACAATAAAAGTCTTGTTTTGGAGACTTAATGAAAGTGCGTGGCGCTGAAGATTGAGCATGTCTAGATACTGTAATATCAACAGGATTTGTATACTTGAGAGGCAGTCTTTCCGGGATTTGATGAATCACCTGCCTTCGGAATTAACTAGTTGGTTAGCAACGAGCTATGATGTCACAAAGGCTGTTATGAGGCTTGTGGTGTCGCAGTTTCAAACCGCCAAATAACTATGTCCAATCAGCCTTCGGGAGAACCACAAGTTCCCCCCTAACCTGTGGTCGAGAATACTTTCAAGTTCGCGGTTCAGACCAACCTCATTCATAACCTCGGCTCTTTATGTCTTTCCATGTGACTCAAGGCTACTTAAAAGGGCAGTCCTCTCCCTCTCTAACTATCCTGCGAAAAATGCCGCCTCGGTGAATCGCGCATAACTACTTTCGGTCCATGACCATTGCAGTTTCGAGGCCCACGATCAGAGGTTCCCCAGCTAGAGACAGGTAGCAGCCCAAACCGAGCTGCTGGATGCTGAGCCTCTACGGAAGGCCATGCTATCCTTTCTTCTCATCTAACTAGAACCGACTGGGGAGCAATTCCACTGGTCAGTCATAAGCACCTGTAGGCAGCAAGCCAATGCATGCACAGATAAAATTACGGACCGGAAAAACTTCTCTCCGAGTTTCCTTTGTCCAGCTTGAAGGGGGTTTCTATGTTTGCAATAATCCGACATTTACCGTCATCCCATCGTCATCTACCTTACTGAAATGGAACTATTCATGCGCCCAATAGCTGATGTATGTTTATTCATAATTTGCTGAATACCCTCTACTGACATCCCACGTCAAGCCACAAAGTCGTGAGCCTGATGGATCTTTCCACTGGATGGAAAGGATCTTAATTCTGTCACAGATGAGGCTCTGGCAACCCTTCTCACAACTGCTCCTATTCTCCATCAGCTAGGTGGAACGACGGTTGTGCGGCTTTCAGAGAGTTTGATCATGAAGGGTGGCGGCAGTGTCATGGCTAGTGAAGCGGAAATGCTTCGTCTTATTGCTTCCAGAACCACTATTCGAGCCCCACGAGTCTATCGCTCATTCCAGGTAAAAGATGATACCCAATATTTTGGCACATCTGGGTATATTGTCATGGATTTTATCCCAGGCCAACCGCTGGATGAGTGCTGGAACAGCCTATCCCGTGACACCCAAGGGAAAATCGCTGCGCAGGGTCGGTTCTTCACAGATTTTAGCGCTGGGCCATTTATGGACCCTGCTGAAATGGAAGCTTGGTTTAATCACAAGCTAGAAATCTGCAAGAGCGTCCATCAAGCCCCAAAAGTCGTTCCGCCATTCCATTTTACCAAGTTTGTCCTTACAAACCACGACATCAGTCCTCGAAACATGATCTTAGATCAGCATGAACAGGTGTGGTTGATTGACTGGGCATATTCCGGTGCATATCCTCCCGTCTTTGAAAGTGCAGCATTGTCGATCCAGCCGTTTTTCACTGATTTCAACGAAGCGGTATTATCCCTTATTCCACGTTACCCTAAGGAAGAAATGCAACTTGATTCTATTGCATATGAATTAACCACCGCGGCACTGGCATATAGGAGACTGAGATGGAAGCCGACTGCACCCGTCGCGACGGAAATAGCGGTTGGAGGAGTTGGAGGAAATTCAGTTGGACAACAATAACATTTAAAATTTCCCCGATAGATTCATCTTATTCGCTCGCTTTTACTTGCTCATGCTCTTCGCACGCTCCATAGATTCTGCTTGTATCCAAATAGGCGGGAACGGAGTGTTTGCATCAAAATGACTCTCAACATGTATGATGGACGCAAGGAAGACGAAAACCTCACCTCGATGACTCACCGTCCTTCTAATAACTTGCAATGAGCATTTGATCTCCAAGCCGTAACCTCAAAAAGGCTCTCGGGGTCGCAGTTCCAAACTGCCAACTAACCGTGTCCAATCAGGACTCTGGACAACCAGAAGTTCCCCACTATCCAGTGGTCGAGGGCCTACTCCCGAAGTTTAATAATACTTTCAAGTTCGCAGTTCAGAACAACCTCATTGAAAACCTCGGCTCTTCATATCTTTCCATGTGACGCAAGGCTACTTAAAAGGGCAGTCTTCTCCCTCTTGCAAAAAAAAAAAAAATCCTTGCCTTGGTCTTGACGCCTGAGATGAATCGCGCATAATGACCTTTGCAGTTTCAAGACCCACGATCAAAGGTTCCCCATCTAGAGACAGATAGCAGCCCAAGACATAGGCTGCAGGAGGACGGGCCTCTACGAAAAACCATGCTATCCTTCCTCCGCACCCAGCTCGGACAGTCTGGGGGCGAGATAGGGTGTGGTATTGGGTATGGTAACCTCTATCAATTCTGCATTGGGTTATGTCTTGGCGATAACACTTACAACCATCACTCCAGGCCAGTCAGTCAATCGAGACATCATCATCATCATCCTGCATGATAATTTACCGTACGGTTTTTTATTTACCCAACCACGATGCGAAGACTCAGATGAACTCTGTTCCCTCCGCCTCCCCACCAAAACCACGCGGACAACGGACGAGTGATTTTGGCACCTCCCACCATCCACCAACCTCCTTGACAATTTTGAACCAAAAAAGCGAGCGGAGATGAAAGGCAAATATTGGAAATCCCTCCCCACGTAAATAGATTTTGAAAAGAGGGGTGATGCAGGTATGAGTTGTCCTGCAAGACGTTAGGACACGTCAGATTTACAAGGCAGTCTTACTTTTGTCCCTCTTATCAAAGAGGATACCTACTTGGCGTATCCAAGATTATCTTTCCCTTCTCCGGACAATCACATCCACCCATCCCCCGTGCAACCTTCCGCGTTAGAAATATTTATACTGCTTTAAGGATCACGAGAGCTACAAATTCTACAGCTGTCTCCTTTCACGATGACTCACTGCAGAAATTGGCGATCGCGGGGCAATACGAGCAAGCGAGGAGGATCCAACAGCTTCAGGAAGCGCAATCAGTCAGAAACATTCTGTGTGCACTTCCAACGTGGCAGGTGCCACTACGGTGAGAGGTGCAGATTCTCGCACGATGTGAATAAGGCTTCCGACTTCAAGTCAAACTCGGCTGCATATCCTCCCACAACCCATGATCTGGACGCTTGGAATCAATACTTCGACTGGAAGAGACTTCTTAGAAATGGGATCTTAGGGTCTGGATATTCTCGAAGGGAACATGAAGAGATCGTTCAATTCTGGAACGGGGCTCTTGAAATTCTTGAAAGCGACAGCAGAGAGAATCATCAATTCCTCGCCAAAGATCTTGTGGACGACGATCTTCATGGATATGATTTTATCCTGGCAACTGCGGATGTAGACAATCCAGGGGCCGTGCGACCAATTCCAGCTTACGACGAGCCATTTCTTAAAGTCATTACCCATACTTCTCTCTTGAACTGTCTTTCTGTCGATTCATTTGTTGGCACTCTGTACACATCCTTTGGTGGTACGAATGGAGATCGAGCAATCAGATATCTGAGAAGTGTCTGCCGGAGCCTGATGAGTAAAGGTGAAGAGACCAACGAAGATGTACCGGTCATCTCTCTGGACATGATGAAGTTACTGTTGAATACCCTGTACCAACTTTTGTCAAGAGTCCGACGCGCTCGATTCCACGATGAAATTCCCGCACTGCTCGACCTAATCCGCGAAGTGGGCTTCCAAATTACCGAAACATGCTCGAAAGCCGACATTGACGGACTTGAAAGCAGAATAGAAGTCATGCAGAGCCTGATTGCTAGCGCAAACCGCAGTCTTTTTACACCAAGGGTGATGAGGAAAATCCCCAGGAGAGTGGATCAGCCCTGTCGTCTTTTCCGCTGGATATGCAAACACCTGGTGGGAGACACGACAACGACCTTGCAGAAATCTCTCAAGTTCAGATCCTTCCTACCTATGGAGAGATTGTCAGCGGCAATTCAGAATATTTACCCTCTACCAACTTCCTTCAGCCGCACTTTCTCCCCGACCCTTTGCAAAGATATATTGACTCAACATTCCGACTCCTGCGCCATGATATCTTCGGCTCAGCGAAAGATGTCCTTCGAGATCTGCTGCAGCAGAATGATTTGACCCGATTTTCATATTTCTCAAGCAAAGATAGCGGGGCACATCTCTATCTGGGAGCACAGGTCCTCCAAATATTTATCAATGAGAGAAATGAGCTCGAAGCGACGGTGTCCTTTGCTTCTCCACCACAGGTCCGTAAAAAGACATCCAACGAGCAATGCAGATGGTGGCAAAACTCGAATCGACTAGAGGAAGGAAGCCTAGTGTGCTTCTTGACGTCTCAAGAAACTCACAGGAGGCTTATTTTCCTCGAGGTCACTGTGAAGAATGCTTCCAAGGAGCGAGCGCACCAGAACAAGAGTAGTCTTGTTTCTGATAGGCTTCCACCTAGTATTACGGTCAAGCTTGCGGCATGCCTACAACAAGAACTGATCCTCCTGTGCCGGCTTTACAGCAAGAAGCTCGCCGGTATTCTGGTCGACTTCCATGGCTTGATCCCTGCCACGTTCGCCCCTATCCTGAAAAACCTTCAGCGAATCCAACTCGAAGGAGAGTTGGCATTCCAAAAATGGATCTTGCCAGGCCGTAAGGATGATGAAGATGGTCACAGCATACCCCCACTGGCATAGTCGGTTGATGGATTGGTTGGCCTGGATGAAGTATACACGAGAGATAAAGATGGAAAATTCGACGGTCTCCGAGATATCTCTTCTTCACTTGCCAGTGTCATACCATCGTGCCCGGACTGTAAGCAGCCCATTCGCCAGTTTGTGACGAAACGTTACAATCGTGTTATCAACCGTGCTGTTATGGATGAGACTTGTAAGCGGTTCCTTATCAAGGGTCGCACAGACCTTGAAGGCCTTGAATCGCGTCTGAATGACATTGAAGACAAGCTCAACTCTAAGCAAGCGTTGGTGGCGGTGGGGGACACTGAATTACAGCTTAAAGCACGATATGCAGCCTGTGCACGCCTTGCGACGGAGGCTTTAGCTTTCAGCAAAGCCATGGAGGCCGAGAATCAGCCGATGAAACGGCTCATGGATGCGATTGCCATCTATCAGAAGTCACCAAGGGGCGAAGTAGCCTCCCTCTCAGCCCGAATGGAGGCGATGAACATAGCGACACGAGAATCCGACAACCAAATCACCCTTGGCGCACGGTTAATTTACATCAAGTCTAAGGAAGTCATGTTTAGCGATGCCTTTAGAGTGATAGATTCCAGCGGAAAAACTGCAACACTACCACGGCTAAGCTTTGCCAAACCATCATCAACCTTGATTCAAGTTCTGAAGGATTGCCGAGACTTGATAACTCAAGCCAATGAAGGAAATTTCTCCCGCATCGTCATCACGGCGACCATCTCATTCGCCAAGATCGCCCAGCTGGACGCGTGGTACCACCGCTCTCATCCAGGAGAAACAACAACCGATCTACATCTCAAAGGAAAATCTGGTCTAGAAAAGCTCGAAGATCGCTTTCAAACCACCCGCGATCTCCTCGCCGCTGCGTTAAAACTATGCAACGAACTGGGGAACTGTCCTGAGCTCCAACAAAAGGTCCAGGAGATGGTCCGTCTCTATGAGGGAACGCGATACGAAACAGTCACTTTAGAAGAACTTCAATCAATCAAGACGGCCATGGTTAATGGGCGAGGAGGAATTGCGACTCACTCTGGGCATTGGTACAATTGCGTCAACGGACATCCGGTGAGTAAATTTCCCATTCCTCGAATTGTCCCAAGTTACCTTCGAGCCAAATAAGCTAAATAACTCTTTCTGTAGTTTGCTATTGGAGAGTGCGGTATGCCGATGGAGCAAGCTAGATGCCCTGAATGTGGAGCACCCATTGGAGGTCAAAATCACACAGCCGTTGAAGGCGTTTCTCGAGCGCGGGAAATGGAGTAGATGGAAACCATATTGTTTTTCAATTATGGTAGGATAATACATGTTTTCTTTTCTTTCCCTGATACTGCACACGAATCTACACTCAACTGTTTTAAGACAGTTTATCAAGCGTCTGTACGTTATCCTAGCCTAAACATTGCCCAGGTCTACTAGGTTGCGCTGGGAGCCACCTCGAGCCAGAGGGGCTCCCAGGTCTCAAAAGGTGGCCAAATATGGTCGAAACATGGTGAATGTTGTGAAAAAATGAGGGTCCCTGGAAAGCAATACAACCGCTAGGACTAAAACATTGCCATGGTCCAGAGAGAAGGATGGACAGATGATACACCTGCCGCACAGACACTTCTCACCATATACGCACCCAGAAACGTATCAGGGGTGATCGAAAAGCGAAGGTCTTCTCACCCTGGGGTGAGAAAGATGAATGAGGACCTCCCTCCTCAAGAGTGAAAAGGTGAGAGGGAACTGAAAGAGATCCTAAAAACCCACGGGTATATCGGAGATAGAACCAGAAGGATATCGCAGAACAAAAACGGTGTCGCAGACCCGCAGCCCCCGCCAGCCACCGTGGGTGTGCCTCGACCACTTGGGGTGATCAGAAGAAGGATCTGTCTGAGCAAGCCAGGACAGTATGGCCTAGTAATCCAGATAGGCGAATGAGGGAGAGGAAGAGCTCAAGCGGAACCAACCTTGAATGCAAAAGTTGATTGACTGAAGAAAGAATGAATATCATGGGGGGTAGAGATACCCCATGGATAGCTCGGGTACACAGTGTTACGACAAGTGCCAATGAAACCAAATTACTATACAGAAACACAATAAAAATGGGTCACTCGGTATAACCCCTGTCCAAGCAGTAAGTTACCGCTCCATTTCTCGACACCATCCTGCCTCGTCCTAAATACCCTTTCTTAGTCGTGATACCACCTTAGAGAAATAAACAAATAACCTAGGGAAGGATGGTTATTTAGGGAAAAAGTTAATACTTACATTCTTAGCAATGAACGTCGCTAATATTAATAGCGGAGCTGCAGGCGCTTTTTACAAGATTTGTGGTCTTAATCTTGCCGTCTGAGCCTTTGGTCACCCTCGTGTCTGAACAGCCGCAGTCACCAAACAATCTGGAGCACCCCACGAAACACTTGTGATCATCACTGTAGTCACAATTGATATATCCACCAGCACAGTATCTAGCGGTTGCGATTTGAAATAAAATAGGAGAGACAAGGAGAAGCCAAGACCAGTTCGCCATATCTTTTGGGTCGTGAATTTTTTCGGACTGGTGAATAAAGATTGTAAGGAAATTCGATTCGAAAGGTACCACTGACTATGTGCCAAGATCTTGACGTGAGGAAAGAATAAGGAGTTCGGATGTTGGTCTGCTGTATTCCGCTAGTTAAAAAAGAGGGAAAGAGTGGCTTTTATAAACTAATAGTGGCAGCTGGCTTCGCGTAGAAGGTCTACCTACTACCCGTGCCGTAAATAGTTATATGATATAGGTAGATAAAGCGAGCCCCACCCATCAGCAGGACACGTTGGAATTTTAGGAGCTCGCTGATTGGTGGGGGTCGCTATCTGGTGCAAATGGCTCGTTGAGTAGATTAGTCGTTGGTTCCCCTTCCACAATCGTTCCTCTTGTATTATTGGAGAAGGAGAACCGACGATTAACACCCACGTTGCTTTCTTCGGCTTTGGTTATATCTAGCGGGCGTTAGTCTTCGGTTAATGTAGTGGATTGGAGGCGCATTTGCCCTCCAAAATATGGTCAATCCAGAGGAGGGAGTGAGACACGGGGCGAAGTCGTACGAAATGGATAGAAATTTGTTTCATCGCTGTTATCACAAAGTCTCTTCCACGAACTCTATTTGGTTTAGTACTTTTCAGTAGCTGCATTGCGGTGGGGCACTAGCCCGCAGCCCCGAAGCAACTGGATGAGTTTCACAAAGTACATAGATGGATGTTGACGGCTCTGGGAGAGATGCAAATCGACTTTTGTGTATATTCCCTTACAGATGTTTTGCTCGTACTGTCATGTTTACACCATAGAAGTAAAGCGATGGATCGTCTTCACCACAAGGTGGAGAAAGGAATGGCACGTTTACAGTACCAGTCTTCACCGCCGCGACACATTTTTAGCCTCCTTCCCTTGGGACTGTCAGTTTTCTTGCGGTGTGCTAGGGGACCAGGTACATGGTGGTTTGAGAACCAAATGACCAGGTCCGCCACTCTATGCTAGATTGGGAAAAGAGTGGCCCGTGGCGGTTCAGTTCGATGCGTTGCTGGGGTATTTTTATGCTTCGCGGTTAGAGAAGGGAGACATAGGAAAATAGTGCGCCGCGGCGGTTGAGTTCGATGCGTTGCCGGGATATGCCATGCGCTCGCAGTTAGAGGATGCAGCCATGAGTTTGCGGTTCTGAACAGCCACGCTTGAGCCTCGGTCCTGAAGCAAGGCCATATGATGTTACCAACGACTACTTAACCCCCCTTTCCCCCTACGTTGACCTCCATTCGCAGAGCGGAACAACCAAAATGACTGATCGTCCATGCTCTATTACTGTTGATTATTAAGTGATGCTTCAGTGTTCATGTTATTGAGGGAGTTGATTGTGTGTTGTGTTGCATGTTGTCTAAGATACAACTAGGCTGGTGAACAGGTATATATGTACGCACGTGATCCCAGCCTCATTCTATCTCAGCAACCGGGATATTTCAACAATTACAGCACCCACATCTGAGGCCTTCTGAAGGCTATTGGGATTTGGATGCCGTTGATCGCTGGATTGACGACTTGCTTGGAAACCATGAATTGGTGAATACACTAATTCGATTTTCATCAGACGCAGAAGACGTGGTACTTGTAAGCTATACTCTGGGAATGATTTTTAAATTATGCTTACTCTCTCCTGCTCAAAATAGAACCAGCAAATTTTTGGGACTCCTCAACCTTCGTTGTATGGAACGATGAAAACATCTCTAAGGTCAAAAGACTGCCTCGAAGCCACCGCTCTCGACCCTCTGCAAGTGCGATGGGGCATAGAAAGTTAGCCGCGTGAAGCCACAGCCGCAGTTGCAGGACATGTAACCCTTCCACTCCGACCCCGCCTGAGACTTCTAGTTCCTCGGTCCTTGAGCTTCGTACTATAGTGAACCTGAAGAGCACCCCTTGTCCTCCCTGGAAAATGCTTCATGATTCGATCCCATGGAAGACTTTGCTTTTCCTTCAGTTCAATCAAGAGTTCGTCCTCAGCGGGCAGGAAACGAGTCGCATGCGCTGAAGGCTTTTTGTTACTAGACTGCGGGGTGTGCCTTGCCCTGTCTAAGCTTTCTTCGTACGTAGGAGCTTTTGTTGGCTCATGCGGACAAGCAAGTTGCCTATCTTCCTCGAAGGTACACGAGTAGATGACTCTTGATAGAAACATTTGCCGCGTAAGGAAGCCTCTGATAGGAATGGTTTGTATGTCCTGCAAACTTGTGCCGGGACACGGATTTGCAATTTCCACTTCTGGAGCCGGGGAGGAAAGCACGCGATACGGCCTTTCGCGTCGAGCCTGAGCGGGTTGGATATTCGTTACAGCACTTCGTCTCGGCCTCTTCGTTAGACGTGGCAACACGGCGATGTCACCGATACCGGAATCGTTCCCATCCGTATAGTCACTGTCGTCAGGATCATCGCTGTCAACATTGCAGGGGGAGTTCGCTCGATTTTCCCTTTTCCCTGTATAGCGTGTGGAGCCGGCTCTAGTGGACCTTGTTTTTGGTGGCCCACGGGACCGGGTTACAGGCACAACAACCGATACGGAGCACGACCTAGATAAATCTCCTGGTGAATCCTTTCCCTCTGACCTGGAAACTGCCTGCCTTTTCTGGTGCAGAACGGGTGAGATAGGCCTTGACAACGCTTCGTCGTCAGGACAACAATCTGTTGAATGGATGTCACTGCCGTCGCTCCGCACGTCCAGGTGGCTGTCGCGAGTTGCTGAAAGGTCCCTCGCGTGCAGCTCGGTGGAATGTGCCTCCGTGACGCGTAGAGGACTTGATTTTCTGGACTCTGCTCCAGTTTCAGGAGTCCCCCTAAAAAGCCGCTGATTCGCTGGCTCTGGTTCATCTCCAGCTGGAACAGAAGTGCTGGGATTAGGCGATGGAGTTTGGTCTCTTGAAACATTACCGGCCGTCACGCCGTTGACCTTGGGTTCACAGCCAGAAATGGAAAGCTGGGTTTCATTGCGTTCAGTGGGTGAAAGATCTGTAGTCGTATGATGAGAAGCAGCCTAGGAAAACCCTATCATCAGACGCACTACTAACCTTGAACGGGACATTGTTCGTTCGGTGAAACGGAACCATCAGCTTCCACAGGACAAGTTGGTGCACTGGCTGCTGATAAGAGGCCTGTCTCGGCAGCATTTGATGAGGCGGCGGTGTCTTGCTGTGTAGCAGGATCCTCTGAGAGGAGCCTTAAATCCTCCCTGTAATGATCGTGGTCGCGGTCGGCTACTTTAAAAATAAAAAGTTGGCACATTTCAGTTGCCTTGAACTTAAATAGCGTCACCCGAGGGGGACCTGAAAGCTAGAGGAGCCAGCAGACGAGCAGGTCACTTACCATAGCGCTGATCATGCAATTCCTTTCCTTGAACGTCGTCGATATCCTTTGATTGACTCTCCTCGCTGCCTCCAAAGCATGATCCTGAAGTCTCTTGGCCCTCAAATTCGGCTATTTCCAAGTTTGCCAATTCCTTATCAAACTCGTTCGGGTGCGCGTCGCGATCGCGAGGCAAACATGACGCAACAGGAGAAGGACTCTGCCGGTGACGATGAGGTGTTCGCGGCGAGTCATGATAAAGGGACGGGGGGCGGGGAGGCAGAGGATGGATTAGGATGGGCAGATTCGAGGGGAAATGGGAAGAACCATGAGAGGTGGTCAGGTGTAATGGTTTGCAAGGGGCCTTTGGGATGGGGGGAGGGTGGTAATGGATGATATTGTCGAGATCGATAGGCACCATGGTTTG